ATCACGGTGTCTAGACTACAAATCAAGTTATTTATGCCTATTTTCATTCCTATTTGCAAAACATCCATTTTAGCATAGGTATTCTTGATATGAGGGATTTTATAGGGGAAGCGACCCCAATATGTCGTATTTTATGCATTCCAAAGTGTTTCTGATAAAATTCCAGGTCTTATATGCATTCGGAATTGATGGGGAATCAAATGGAGTTCATCCGAGCACGTTTGGGAAGCATAGGAGCAAGAAGGGGAGAAGAGGCACTAGTCATAGCCCTTGACCATGTTCCTGAGGATCAGTAACCACGAACTTCAGCAGGCGACCAATAAGAAGACATGAAGTTTCCCGACTCAAATCGCGGACATGGTGCATTTTGATCTCGAAAAAGATCGCGTACGGGACACAAAGATCACGATCGCGATCTTATGAAGGAGGCCGTGATCTCGTAGCTTAAAGACGGAGTCAAAACGCGTTATTTCAGGCAATTCGGGGACGTTCCAGCAGGTCACGACTGTGGCCATCACGTCATGCCCTAAAGTTCTTGTGATATGATTCCGGGCCGCCCGCATAGAAGCAAAGACCCGCTCGGAATCATCATTTTCCCCGACCGGAAAAACAAGAATAGAGACCGGGGATCCGGGCCGGGGCAAAAGCACCCCATGCCGGTGCTCTTAAATGTTCGACCAGGTATTTAGACCAGGTTTCGGGGCCTGTCGATTTTTGTTACCTTTTTCGATTAGGATTCTTTTTCCTTTTTGGTGTTTTCATTAGTTTGATTTCCCCCAACTATTTAAAGGGTTGTAAGACACTAATTTTAGGAAATTATGAGATTATTCAGACTTTCATAATAAATAAACCCTTTTCGGTTCATTGAGTTTTTACTCGTGGATTTGGTAATAAATAAACTCTATAACTGTCATAAACTTGAACGTTGTGGCTATAACTGTTACAAATGTGAAAGTTGTGGCTATGAAAGTGTATTTTGCTGTTTTTGTTAATCCACGTGGATCGCCAACTCGTCATTTCTGTCAGTCTATTCATACTGTTAAGTGACACCGTTAAAGGGATGGACGAAAGTGGCTATTTTGTGTATTTCGAAAGTTGTGGCTATAACTGTCACAAATTTAAAAGTTATGGATGTGAAAGTGTATTTTGCCTTTTTTTTCAACTCATTTTATACACTTTAATACATAATTGATTTAAATATGTTTAAATTAGTTTTTTATTATTGAATTTCATTGGTAAGAGTCCAGAATAAATAGCGTCTTACCATCCGTCAATTGAAGAGAGAAGATATAACCATTTGTACTTCAGTTGGATTTATATATTTAATATAATTAATTAAAGTATTTTAATTTTTTTTGGTTGAGTGATGTAACACCTTTATTAGTAAAATATGATACACGGATGTTGCAGTATCGACTCTTACGAGATTTGAATATCATTTTAACACAATAGTACACTTAACAGTTTGTCCTCTGTTATAAATGCTAGAAATCTATATTTTAAAATATATGTAAACATAAAAATTATTAAATTATCAATTCAATTCAAGTCCTTACAATATGTGTATTTGACGTTTAATATATTAAATAAATGATAAAAAAGAGATGACTCTATAGTAATATGAGACTGAGAGCGAGAGTGTTAATTGAATTTTTGCTAATGATGCATGCAAACGTGTCGCATTCACATGAGCAAGTGTCAATAAAGCACTACGACGAAAAAGATTAATTGTTAGCATTGATGGTCAACCAAAAAGTTTGACATATCCATTATTTTGAAGAAAAAAAAAATGTTTCAAAGATTTTGGTCCAAAATGATCCATAAAGGTACCAACGGGACAAGTAATACGCACTCCAACTATCCATAAATGGTAACAATGGGTTCCACATTCTAGGCACAGTAAAGCGCGACAACCAATCTTGTGTAAATTAAATGAAAGTTTAACTAAACCCCAATTTGCCCATTTCCTTATCCAAATCTAATGAGTTTGGTTCCTTAACTCATTTCTTCTATAATACTAGGGGTGAGCATTAGGTGGTTGAACCTACAAATTCACTCAAATCCATCCACAATCGACCCACCCATTATCATGTGAGTGGTTTTTATGGGTGAGCGTGAGTTTAAAATAGGTGACCCACAAAAGATTGGGTGGGTGTCGGTGGACTGTGGTTTACCCACGACTCACCAAACTTTTTAATCTCAAACAATTGAAGCTCTAACATATAACTTTAACGAAAATAAAAACCTTAAAATTATAAATATCCTGTCAATTTCGATCAAAGAATTGTGATGTGAGGTTTACTTAGGCAATTGGAGCTATGCATAAGCATAACTAGTTGACAAATGGCAGAAAAAAGACAATTGTCTTCCCAAAATGACACCATCTCAAACTACCCTGATTCATCCTTAATTCCTTTCATCAATTTGAAATTGTAATCTACGACTATAGGTTAAAATTGTTCAAAAAAAAAAAAAGACTATAGGTTAAAAAGCTATTTACGCTCACAACACCTAGGTGAATGAGTCGCTAGGCAAGACCAAAACGTTTGTCTTATGCATAGTGGCTTCTTGAATCTTAGTTATTACCAGGCGTAGACCAAGTTTATCAATTGAATATTTTGTAATTTGTGGACAATTACCAATACCAATATTATAAAATAAATGATTCACCTTATTTATGGATTAAGCATTATCTAGTTTGAACATTTATTCATTTTAAATTTAAAACTATTGAATTTATGTTATCATATGGAAATGTTGTCAAGCCACCGAATCCACCCAACCACCCATCATTCATAAGCACCCAACCCAACTCACCCACATGTAATGCTTGGGTGCGTGTGGGTCATTTTCTCCTTCACCCAACACGTAGTATGTGGTTCCAAACCTACCCTAATCCGCATAAAATCACCCACTATTCACCCGTATATAACACTTTGCAAATATTTATGGATGATGAGAGATTTTTTTTTTTGTGTAAAAGAGATTTATTCCTTTAAAATGAATTGATGAATTATTTAACTCAATTGATGATTAAAAAAGTGAATATATCATATTCATTGATTTATTTGTTTAGGATTAGCATTGATTTAGCTGCAGTATTGGAGGTTGGAAGTGACTTTTCGAATGAAGAACAATTTTGAAATCAAACATGCCATTTTTTTTAATGATTGTTGAGCTAGATATGTGCCAAGATATTTTGTTGAACACTACAAACACAGAGGGGATATTTTAAATTACACCCCTTAATAGACCTCTTGGGTCCGCCACCGACTGAAAATCTGATATGTTGATGTGGGAGTAATAAGCGAGTGTGAGGACGGATCAGGTGATTAAGGGGGTGTTTAGTCACTTGACTAAGTCCCTCCCAGTTCTTAATGGACACATTAATCAAACGGTTAATAAATGGGAAGAGCTTCTTAATTACTGACATATGTAGTTTGTGTATTATGAAAAATTACGAAATATACAAAACGGACTTAGAAACAGTACAAACTAGAACGACAAAACATACAAACAGATTTACAAACAATACAAAGTACACCGACAAACAATACAAAACATAAAAAATGGAAAAACCACCTGGTTGAATTTGGAGGCTTCATCCCTATATCGAAACACCGACTAACAAATATTATAAACCAAAATATATACAAATTAGTCATATAAATAGTACAAAGACAAAAATAACAAACTAGAATGATAAACTGTACAAACCCAATTGATATAAACATTACAAACTAAACTTATAAAAATTATAAAATATGTCAACAAACATCACGAATCCAGCTTAATCGCCGGAAAATCCTCATCCGCCATCTCTGGTTGCCAGAAAGCCTCCTCCGTTGTCGCCCAAAAATCTCTCTCTCTCTCTCTCTATTCACCTAGGCGGAATTTCCCCAGCAAAGGAATGAAAGTGGAGCAAAGGAATAAAAGTGCCCGGCGAAACTATTCCCAGCAGTAACCGGCGCACCGACGGTCACCTGCTTGCGTAGGATTGTTAAATTAATTAAAAATTAATAAAGTCATCCAATTACTACATTGTCCTTCATTAAATTGAATTAATATGAGCCATTAGATTTTAATGGGGTGGAAGGGCTGAGATTCACTTAGTCATGTGACTAAGGACCCCATTAGTCACCTAATCTTAGCCCAGCGACTGTCGAACCTGTTGAATTCAACGTATTTTTTTTCCCCTTTTTTTTCTTTTTTGGGAAAGAAGGAAAAGGAAGAACACAATAAGAACGAAACAAGCAAAGATAAAATATCAAGGTGGCGATGGCGGTGGCTCATAAAGCAAAAGATCTTTGCTTTAGCATTTGCTTACTGTTATGGGTTGCTTTGTTTCTCCACCACTTTTTCCCCGACCCCTTTTTCTCTGCGCTTTTACTTACTGTAGACAATATTGGTTTTCTTATTCATATATGCACGGGGTAAGTTGCCATGATCATGGTCCATGGAGATCATTAGAATATCCCCACAAAGGGAGTCGGAAGAAAGGCACCAAATACTCTCCATAGCTTTCCCCCCTTTAGCTTGTTCCACTCATGCTGCTCCACAAATTACGACTTCCTTCGAACTTTACAACACTGCTACTTCCAATAACACTATAACAACACCAGGCCCGGGCCACCTCCGCCGTCTTTTACCTTTCAAACTATCCCTCTCGACGATCAAAAGAATACAACTTTGACATCACTCGAAGTTGATGCATTTTTCCTAGACTGCAGTTCAAGCAAGAAGCTGCCATTCTAAACTTTGCTACTCTAACCAACGAACAAAGTGAAGACGCGGAGAAGAACACCAGTAATGCAGTTGGAAAAAGTTTGTGGGGTGGGGCAAGGAAGGAAAACTGCCATCTGGTCCAAAGGATCATTAGGTTCATACATACACATCTTAGTACAATAAGGTGTGTGGTATACATTCTGTCTTACAAACATAGAAATACTCTGCTGCAGCTATCCACGTTATTGCGATGATAACAATCCATCTCGTTCAACTTATTCTGGTAATCTCAAATGGTTGAACAACACCAAGAAGCTTTGCTCTAGGACTACATACAGGAATCCAAGATCTGCACCTTTCACATATGGTCCGGTTCCCTAAATGAAAAGAACGAATATGGATGAAGCTGCTGAATAGACCATACACAAGAAGCCTGCGAGACGTTTGTATACCAACAACACAACTTTGCAACAACTGAACCATCACGAATTCTTGACTGGTTTATCATTCACTCACCTTTCCATTCAGTTTGAGAAGTTCCCCTTCGATCCATTTCAGGTTCTTAAACCCGAACTCTGCTATTCTCCCTTCACCGTTATAACTCGCAACCTGAACAAAACAGTTCCAGAAACATGTTGCATATCATCTATAAGATCAAAGATCGGCAAGTTCAAGAAAGCAAGCAAAGCCAGTGTTGCAGGACACAAACTAAAAAACAACTAAATGCATGGAAATAAACAATTATATATGTCAACACCGGGAAGACTATGCCAGTTTTTGTCACCACTCTTATGTCCAACTAAATCTTGAGTCTCGACAAGAAAACATGGAAATAGACAAATGAGCAGGGTAATGCCAAAGTAAGGGAAAACCAATTTGTTTGTCACTGTGTGATGGTTACAACCTAAACATTCTTTTCAGCCTATAATGTATCGCATGCAAATAGACGTGAAATGAATTTCAGTTGGTACTTCGAAAGAACTGGTCAATTTAACTGACTTCACAAATGATTCTCTTCTTTGTCTGTTTCATTACTTCAAAATTTCTATTAGGTACAGGAAACATCAAACTTGTAACACTATGTTGAACAAACTGGAGTAGGAAACAAGGACAAGATAAGACCGCAATCCTAGTGAACCAAAATAGAAACAAGAAATCAGAAAGCCATCGAAGAGAAAGTAAAGTTACCACTCCTAATTCATCAGGATACATCCCACGATTGGAATTGCGACTCCCTTTCCCAATTTTGGCACGAAACGTAACCTACATTTGCAGTCATAAGTTAGCATCAATTATGACTTAGAAATCAACTTGAGTGAAGAAGTATGAAAAATTAGAATTTGCAACCTGGCCAGCAGGAACATTAAGATCCCCAGTCAGCTTCACGACCTCAATATACTCGAAGAACTCTACAGCAAGTTTGAATATTTCACGCACATTCCTGGAAAACTAAGCCAATAAAAAAAATTAAATCATTAGAATATTGCAAGTAATCAAAAGAGTGGGCAACTTGATAATGCCAGAGATCACACTTCAATAGCTAAAACGAGACCGGGAAGGGGAGGTGCATACACCTCAAACTTCCCAATAATTGAAGAACAGAGAAGTTTTTATATCCAGAGAAACTTGTTACTATCATTGAAAATAGAGTACAGTGGACAACCATACTCACCTTTGAAGAAACTTTATCGACACCCCAAAATGCCTTCCCTACATCTGGAGGCATAAGTTCAGAAACGCCTTTGGCTGCAATTGCTTCCACTTCCAACTTGGATAGCTTACTGTCTACATTCTCATAGTCTAAGATTCTCTCAGGGATGTGTAGAACGAAAGAATCTTTCTCGACATCTTTGATCTCAGCCGGCACACGGGAGAAGTCATCCTTGGAAGGAGTATCCTCATTATTATGCACCACTCCACCAATAAAGAGTTTCATATCAAGATCCTTTCCATCCTCTGAGGAGTCACTACTACTCGCTAAGGAAACTCCATCGGTCTGACTCTCTTCTAACTTCTCAGATTCATCTTCAGAATCTTCATTAGACACTGTCTTTTCATCCTCATCTTTAATCAACTGCTTCAAAGAATCAACATCTTCCGCCGCCACTTCTCCAGTAACATTAAGGTTCATGACTTTCACTTTCATCCCTGGAATTTTATCTTTAAGAAAGTTTATCACACATTTAATTCCTTCCTCAGTATCTCCTTCGATATTTACACCCTTTTCATCAGTTGGCTCTTCTTTAACCTCATTTTGCTCCCCATCTCCATCAGATACACTTTCCACCTCAGCCATAGAGGGCTTTACAGATTTAGGTGGGGAGGTTGTGGAACTCATCGAACTTGTTTTGGTTCGCAAACAAAGTACCTGGAAAATCAGAATAACTTGTTATCAAGTAACACGACCAAAAAAAAATTCCATCAAAGGAAACAATGAAGAATAACACAGAATAAAGAGAATCATATTCATATATCACGATAAAATAATAAACATCAATTTAAGTTTTTCCAGATTGAACATCTCTTTAAGTGTTGCCACAGATATGCTTCATCGTGGGTTTAAGAGAGAAGCAGGTCAAGGAGATTTGACCAAACACAAAACTAACTTACTGAAATGGATGCAACTATAAACTTTGAAAATCGTCACCTAAGAAACCAATGAACTTTGAAAAATCCCTAGTCACTCACTTGCATCACATATTTTTCACCACGATCTTTGACGACAAATATCTTGAACAATAGAGTACCAGAAGATGCATTGACCAACTCCCTGCAGCAATCAACAACTTTTACAACCTTCAACTTAACACTCAGAGATGTTTCAAAGAACCAAGAGGATGGGAAACCTTGGTGTGTAACTCTTGGTGATGAATCTTCCCATTTCAGGTGTTATACGAACAAGTCTTCCAAAGGGGCCAGTGGTCTGTTGAATAACCTACCCACCAACCTACCTATCAGACCAAAAGGAAAATTTTAAATAACAAAGGAAAACCCTAAAAGGACACCATGCGTTACGTTCATTTATTATATAAAATGAACTATATCATGATCATATTGATCACCATGGTGAACCAAAGCCCATAAGTAGAAAACACAAAAACGTTATAGAAAATTTCTCAAGTTATGGAGCGATATTGTTGTTGGTGTACTTTTCCAAGAAACCATTACACCCACACAGATTATAATCAGAAATTTACATCCACAAACCATGGAAGGAAAGGTGGTATAAGTACATACCAATCCGCTTCCAGTGTGTTTACATAATTTTGAAGTGTCATGGTAGCGCTCTTCGTCAATTGCATTCTGCACGCAACACAAGAGAGGGTGAACAACGCAGGTTCTAATGAACAGGAGAAACTTCAAAAAAGGGGTAGACATGAATGGAATTCAAACCTCGAGTTCGAACATAATTTCAGCAACACTATCCATTGAAGTAGCTTCAGCAATAACCTTCTTCAACTTTGATGCTTCCTGGAAGTCTTCCTTATCAATTGCTTCTTCCAGTTGAATCTGTAAGAATATGCCTTAAGATAACTCAGATAAGAAAGACAAACAAACATCCTTTGAACAATCAGGAATTTTCCAGCCCTGTTCGAAAACTCGGTTTTACAACACAGATGAGAAGCACCAACCAGAGTAACCTGAGCCCCAACATATGACAATCAAATTAGCCTGACTAATAAGACAAACGCACGAAACGGTCCAATAAAGAAGAAGAGGGGAAAATGAGAATACCTTGAGAACAGAGGCAAAGCTCTCAGCTTGTTCAATCTCAGCAAAGTGACGGCCCCACCTATTCCAATCCCAGTCCTGAGAAGAGTAAGAAGAAGAACAAACATCAGCAGAAGTGCTACTTTCCGCATTAATGATATCGTCGCCACAGCGGCAACTCCGTAAATTCGTGAAATTCTTGCGGACTCTAGACATGGAGCTACTATGGTGGAGAAAAGTATTCAAACCCACGAAGCCGAAACTGCTGTTGATGGGTTTCCTGGATGAGGAATCAAGGCAACAGAAGGGCTTCAATTGGGGCGCCGTCGCTACAGCTTGGCCACCGGCCAACCAGAGATTCGCCACTGCCATCTCTGGATTTGTTTCCGGGCAGTATCAATAGAGGAGTGGGCGAAGAGAAAGGAAGATTATAAGTTATAACAATTAAACAATCTGAAAGGGTGATTTCAAACAAAAAACTCCAGCAAATTAAATTAGAAATTGGGGAGCAGCAAGCACAGCACAACATGATATCTCCTAAAATGCCTAGCTATAGTTTTTACACTTTTAGCAGATTTATAAGGAGATAAGATTCACAAAACTATATTAGAGACAAATAAAAAAGGGATAAAGAAAAAAATATCACACAAACATTGGGAGGGGTTAGGTTGATTATTACAAAGTAGTAATCATCATGGTTATTAAGGGTAACTAACGGAAGAGTGACTAAATGTGACCAGTTTCAGTAATTCGAGTGACCAAAATTGATATTAAGTTATTCTGGTGACTAAACATGACACGATTTAGTAATCTCGGTGACTAAACGTGGCATTTACCCCAATAAATGGTTTCTCTTTTTCTTTCTTTGCTTATGGATGGAGGGAGGGGAGAAGGGCAACAATGGTGTGGCGTGTGGGTTGGGGAGGAGGGAGTGAGAGAAACAGAGATGGAGGAGGATGGTGAAAGGGGGCGACTGGTTGGCGATGAGGAAGTTCGCTGGAGAGAGAGAGAGAGGGGAAAGAAGCATATAATAATTTGTTAGGGTTGGGATAATTATTAGAGATTTGGAAAATATATGGAAAGTTATATTTAAAGGATAGTAATTCGGTGTGATTATTTTTTTTCCTGAAATTAAACTCAATCAATCATGACCGTCAATATAAAAATGCTGAGAATGGAGAGTGGAGATATAGGTAGCCACGATGACTACCAAAAAAATGGTAACCATCCTAACCTATTCCAACAAACATACTATACTCTCAATCTTCCTTATGAATATTCTTAATGCTTTTGAAATAACATAATAGTTCATGCCTGGATATCACTCGGCTAGTTTTAGATCCTAAAAACTAAAGAAAGTGAACAAATTAGACTATATGGATTTGTGAGTACGTGTCAAGTTTATCAAATTACTGGTTAGTCGGGTCACAGGTTCTGATAACATCCAAATTGGTGTTATTTACCCTTCAAGTCTAGATCGGATTCATGCTGATTCATGTTCATAATCGTTAGAATAATGTCAATTGCATCCTTATTCAGTTCCTATTCAATTATGATGTGATTTTAGAGTTCTCTGTACAATACATGCGTATAAGGTACGAAAAGGGACACAAATGTAGCAAAATAGGCAAAATGCTGATGATCACGGCTTGTTGGAGATGGAGATCACGGTCGAGAAAAAAAATGCGAACTCAAGGTGAAAATCGCGGTCTGAGAGCACAGGATCGCGACTGCGAATCTGGAGGCTTCGAGCGCGAACTTCATGATGAAGCCAGCCGAGGAGAAACAGAGAGTTTCGCCAGTTTGATCACAGCCACAGTTCACCGACTGTGAAGAATTTCGAGGACGCGCTTCACGGATCGCGTCCGTGAAGTCAGCCCGTGAACCCCTCGCGTTTGAAGGCCAAAAAGGTGGCGGTGGCAGATCGCGGTCTCAAGGAAGAAGATCGCGACCGCGATCTTCACACTGCCTGGCCGTGAACTTCCCTATCCTCTGAAGGCTATAAATAGATGACCCCCTTCCCCCATTGAAGAGAACTTATTTTGAGATATAAATTTATGGTTAGAGAGAGAAGAGAGAGAAGTTGAAGGAAGGAGAAGAGAAGAGTCACCTTCCTCAACATCAAGTCTTCCTCAATTTCTTCTATGTATCTTCTTCCCTCCTTTATGGACTAGTCTTCTAAGGCTCCAAACCGTAGTTTTAGGCTATTATGTATTGTATGAATATTTTAGGGGTTTGAATGAATGTGTTTATCCAGTTGATTTCATTGCTTCTCTAGCTTTACTTGTGTTTGGGTAAGTCGTCATAATCTTCTCTACTAGCCTACTTGAGCTTCTACGTTTGGTATTGAGTTTTAGGGTTAGACGGGTAAGCGCCATCAAGCAAATTAAGTTAGATGAATGAATAGGATTGTATGGTGGAAGAAGCGAACGTACCCCTGCCACAAGAATTTCTTCCTAGATAGAACCCGGGATGAAACCTCGGTGTGGACGGTGGGTAGTATCTTAGGTAATTAGTTCGTGGAGCGAGAGCGTGAGAGCGTATAATTTTTAGTGATCTTATATCGAGAGCGTGTTGAGAGCATTATATATTTTTAATTAAATATTTTTTATTATAATATTTTTTAGTTAATATAAAAATTTTGCATGTGGATTTCTATTAATTGTTGGTTCCATCACCCAAATTTAGATGAGCATACTAACTTCACATCAGTTGACGAGATAAACTTTTCACACGGCTATGTATTTTCTTATTAAAAATTTAAAATGAGGGAAATGTCTCTTAGTTGTTTACTTTATTAACTAGTGTGGGCCCCGGCCAGTTGGCCGGAGGAAGGTGAGGTATGAAATTTGATAATGCAATGGGGTGTATAGCTTATTGTTGTATAGTTTTTTTTTTTGGAAACACGTTATACAAATAGTGAATTTTAGTAGGAAAGAGATATGAATGATACAATGAATCAAAAATCTGTCTTATGAACCAAAATCAAGTACATGTTTCTAGTAATATGTATATTATTATTTATATTTTAAATAATCTAAAAATATTTATATTCTCGGTATGATTTGAAAGTAACATGTGTGGTGCTCGTTGGCGATATTATGGATAATTAGTTCATAGGTATTTTTATTTATCGGTTCATCCTAACTTACAACTGTCTTTATTATTTAAAAAAACGATAATGAAGAAAGGAATCTGATATTTTCTGCCCTCTCGGGATAGATCCTAAGACTTAAAGCAAGTAGAAGCTAAGAACAATCTCCATCTCAATGAAGTTAGAAGAGTTGTTTAGTGGTACTAAAGACTAAAGAAGTTCACAAACTGTGTTATTTTAGCTGTAAATAATTTCACTGGTTACCACAGAATCTGAACATAAATAATTTCAGAGAAATAACAAACCAAACCACAACTGTAACTCCCACATTGCCAACCTGGCAGATGAAAATGACACCAAATTGTAATTTCATTGGTTACCACAGAATCTGAACATAAATAATTTCAGAGAAATAAAAAACCAAACCACAACTATAACTCCCAAATTACCAACCTGGTAGACGAAAATGACACCAAATCGTACATTAAACTATGAGTCCTCACCTCTGTTGTTTACACCCTACAATGCATTACCGCACAATCTTGAATAGCAATAGAAGCACATTTGGCTTATCATATCTCTCATCATCAATTCCTCTTTCATTCGGATATCTCCTTCAATCTACAAATTGAGTTTTTTAGACACAGTTATGCAACAATAACACACCAAAGAAACCGTAGTTCATACTCATATATAACATCATCATCAGTAAATTTCGGAAATGGTCATAGCAATCCATTTCATAACACTAAAAACATAAAACCAATGAACAAAATTTCAATCAAGGCACTAAAATTAGAACTAAAGATCACCAAAAAGAGAGAACAATTCTCAATTCTCTAGTACCATCCATTCAAAGAAGATAATAGAGTTTTTTCTTAAACTTCACAGGATTCATATCTTATAAGCACTAAAAGTGGAGCAATAGAAGTTCAGAATTGAGATACTTAGAAAGAAAAACATGGACCCGAAGTCTAAGTTATGAATTCATTTTGCTTAAATATAAAAATATTTAATGGGTGCAAATTATTACGGACTATTGTCATTTCCCATCCCTTTAATCATTTTATTCTAATTCACCTGCAATTCTCTCGGATCTTGCAATGGATCAAGGGTCTTCACAATTGCAGGTCTGGTAATCCAAATCATCTCATAAATGATGCAGGTACCTGCAACCTTGCATACTCTATAGGCCATCTAGGTAGTTTGTCGGTTCATCATTGCCATTTTCACATAACTAATGTTCATAACAATGAGGCGACGATCCTGTCATTCATAGACAACAAAGGACACATATACTGCCATTCGAAAAAAAGGAAGAGAAATCCTATTTTTAATAAAGGATTTTCAAGCAAACTTACATAAGCTGCAACATCTTCATTATGAGCTTTTGAGAAATCCCAATAGATCACTCAAATCGATAAGCCAAAGATGATTGTGGCTCAGTTTTTAGAGGAACCCAATACACATCAAGATTTTGCATTAGATGGAGGGAGCATCAGGGGATATATAATGTAGAATGGTGGATCATGTTTTACATTACCTGCTCATGATTACATTAACTGCTCATGTTTTGTATCCTGGTTTGCCTCTTCGATGCAAGAGAATTGGACTTCGTTTCATTGAGTATGTCCTCTTCATCATCACCTGACCATCATATCCCAGAATAATGGCTCAATCATTCCCAGTGCGTCTGGTATGCCTGCAAAGGACATAAGGAAACATCAGCCTATATGCAACCAACACAAACTATTTGACGCTGATCATTAAATTAGAAGTTTAAAGTGGCGAACTCTTCAATCTTGAGTATTGCAATCGTTTCAAATTCAATATGAAACCCATTCAACCACTACAATCCCCCAAAAACACAAATAACAAAACTATAAACTGAGGCAAAACGGAACAAAACCCTGAAACATACAAAGCAAGCACAAGAACTATAATTGAAAAAGGAAGACTTTTATACAAAAGAACTTACGGAGAAGAATGGACACTAACTGACAATAAAAACAGGATATGATCATCTACAGAACTAAGCCATGTAATAAAAAAAGAGGACAATCGTAAAAAAGACAAAGTACCTATTTTGCTATTGCGAAACGGGTGGGAACTAAGAGGATGCGAAGAGGTAAGATCCAAATCCATTTCTGGTCGCAAGCTATATCGTAAAAGGGACATGGGTAACATGAACAAATTGCAGTTGGTGAAATTGACAAAACGAACTGAACAAAAAAGAGGAAGACCAAAAGATAACCCTTCCCAAATGAATCAACACCCA